CCACATAGAATTAAGGCAGTTCTGAAGGCGAAAGGGGGTCAAACACCGTATTAGTATGGTGTTCCTAATAATCCTTTAGGTGAGTGTATATGCATAATACAAATCTGATGTTTTGAGCCAGCTTCAGTCCTACTCAAATACATTCTGTAACTGTGTCACCAAGAAGTTTGCTGGATATTATATATAGTTCCCCCCCAAGGGGAACAAATCTGAAGGGATGTCCCAGCTTCAGATATAATTTACAAATAAGGATGAAATATACAGTATTTATTAGTTAAGTTATTTTTATGGAAAAATTTATTTTCATGCTTCAGGGAGCACGGAGCATTTGACAGAAGCGCAGGAAGCAAGAAGTCGAGGCGAACACAGGGTTTAATAGGAACAGCAACGATAGGGACAGGCAAAACACTGGGTAACATTACAATGACCGGACTGGGGAAACAAACGGAAACGCGGACTAAATACGATGGACTAATTGACAACGATCGGGAACAGCTGATAAACACAGTTAATCCACACGGGGTTAACGAGGGGGCGTGACACACGAGAGGAGCGGACGATCGGGGCATGACATGAATAAGCAAATTTTATAACTGATATAAATATGTAAAAATATATGATACAATGGTACCTCAGTTTCTTAAAAACTTTAAGATTTCTTAAAAGTCAAACCAACCAGTTCGAAAAAAATTTACCTAGAACTCGCTCTGAATCTCAGAAGTCAAACCGTGAACGCAGACCTAAGATAACTTGAACACGCGGGGAAAGGAGTCACGCGGCACATCTCTCAGCGGAAACAAAGGGTAACACTTCAGTCTCAGCCTCACATTCGCTGTGATAGCATCGTGCATGTTTACACTAGCTGAATATATATATTTAGACAGTAAAAATACATTTAGACAATGATAGACAGTAACAGTAATTATTATAATTAATAATAAACCATTAATACATTTAATTATAATAATATTGTCGTACCCAGCAGGGAACGGAAAGGAGACAAAGGCGCAGACTCCAGGGTATCGGGGAATACGGGGTTTAATTACAGATAAGGCAGGCAAAACACAGACGGACAATACAATGACCAGACTGAGGAAACAAACTGAAACACGGACTAAATAAAGAAGACTAATGACAACAACCAGAAACAGCTGATCGCAGGGGGATTACAAACGGGGTTAACAAGGGGGCGTGACACATGGAAGGAGTGGACGATCAGGGCAGGGCACATTGTTCGGATACATTTATTTTCTTACTTTAAAAATTACTGTTTTGATAAATGTGCTTAGATGTGTTTAGTACAGTATATGCTCTTCTTGTTTTATCCGGTTCATTTTGTGTTTAAATGCTAAAAAAACATATTTTGGTGTAATTTTTTGGGGCCGGGAACCAATTAATTGGTTTTCCATTATTTCTTATGGGGAAAATTCGATCAGAACTCAAACTTCTTAGGATGTGATCCGTAGTTCTGAACGGATTAAGTTCGAGTTCTGAGGTACCACTGTATTATTTTTATCTTCTATCCACCAATGAGGCTGAAAGGAATTTGCTTTCGCTATGAGAAACACAGCAAAATCTGGATGTATCTCACAAAGCTGCAAATCACATTGATATTGCAGAGCGTAGAAGTTCTTACTTTGAAAAATACTTTTGTTATAACTGTCATGCCCTGCTCGTCCGATCCTCCTGTGTGCTACGCTCCCTCATTAACCTAGTGTGGAATCCCCACAATTACCAGCTGTTTCGTGTTATTCCGATTAGTCCTGTGTATTTCAGTCCACGTTCGAGTACGTTTCCCTAGGTCTGTCATTGAAGTCTTGTTCCTCGTACTGCTGTTTTCTTGAATAAACCCCTAATTCCTGACTCTCTGTCTCCTTGCTCCTGCTTCCCCGCACGCGATCCTGACAATAACCATGATAATGGAGGTACTTCATTCATTAATCTTGCTTATTCTTGCTAGGTTTATGGTACTCTGTTGCTGCCTCAATGCATATAATAGCAATAATAATAATAATATGTTTATTTCAGACCCAAGTACCATGTGTATTTAGCGGGACCACAGGGGGGCGTGTAAGTTGTCACGGGGGCACTGGCCTCCCCTGGCCACCCCCTAGAACCGCCCCTGCCCCCACCATTCATGGGGTGTGCTGCTTGGAGACCCCTCAAAAAAATCAGGATATTCTGCCTACCCAGCTGCCTGTGATGCCTCTACTACCTGTGATGTCCTTCTGGCCAGCCCTACTGCTGTACCACTGTTAATCCTACCTGCTATCACCTATTTGCCCTCCACATTTAGACTTGAATCTTAGAATTTGGACTGTGTAAATTAGGATTTTGCCATCTTGTTCATTTGATGACTTTTGACTTGGCTCCTGGAGGATGGGCTTCCTAATTGAGACTGGTTTTTCCCTTCTGGGGAGTATTTTTTTTTGAGACAATGTAATGTTGTGAAAATGTGCTAAACAAATAAAATTGAATTGAACTGAAAAATTATGTCACAGAAACCCTCTTTCATGTGTGTTTCCTCCAGAGCCCTGTGGGACCTCAGGGCTTCCCAGGAAACCCAGGCAGTCCAGGAGTCAAAGGTCAAAAGGTAAGGAGACTTATGTATGTTAGTATTTGTCAGGCTTAATGTGGAGAAATCTTTCTGCAATTGAAATACTCGGTAGACCTCAGGTGTGGGTTGAAAGCCTCTGTCAAGCTGCTCCGTGATCTTATGCACTCATCTACCTTTAGGGAGAACCAGGAGAGGGGTGGCCTGGCCCCACAGGACCATCAGGGCCCCCAGGACTGCCGGGACAGCTTCTGTATGACAAATCGGTGAGCCAGCCAAGTGGTTTTTGGACCTGTGCTCAGCCTCTATAGGGATGTTGGAAGTAAGCTGAGTTACATGAGCAAAACTTCTCTGCTAAATGTACACCTGTGAGCATGGTGTAACACATGTGTTTATAGCTTTTATTTGACATAAATTATTTACATGTGATGTGTCATATGTGACAGTGTGTGTTATTGATGAATGTTTTCAATTTTAAGACGTTTGCAGACATGGAGGGCTCTGGACTTCTCGATCTGGAGAGTTTACGTGTAAGTCTGCAAACTGCATAAAGAGTCTCTCAAACTGACTGTGGCTCAGGCCTCCCTTTCTACGACCTTACAAGGGTCATAGATATCACAAGTGAGCCTGTGTTGTACACTCTAGAATAACCAGCACTTCATTTTATGGCTTATCTGGGCCAATATTGGACAGAACACAGTATTTGCACAGATTTGTACACCATGAAACAGGAGTATAATTTTGCCTCATAGTCAGCAGTTGTCCCATCATATCTCTATAAAGTGCAAAACCATTAACCATTATTGGGTCTGCTTCTAGGGTCCACCAGGCCCTCCTGGTCCACCAGGGCCCCCAGGACCCCCCACATCTGTGGGGCCACATGGAATACCTTTATTTGGACCCACAGGCCCTCTAGAAAAGGACAGCGCCCTTGGCTTGCAGGTGCTTACCACAGGGGTTCATGAAAGGCCAGTAGTCATGGGTGCATGTGCATGTCTGTGAATGTGCATGCCTGTACATGTGTATGCCAGTGCATGACTGTGAATGTCCATATCTGTATATGTCCATGCCTTTGTATGTGCATGCCTGCCAGTGGCGACTGCCCTAAGACTACAAGGAAAGCTCCGCCTCCTCAAAAATGTAATGAAAAATTTTGTCAAATATTTACTGTTGTATTTACAGTGCTATTACAAAAGGCATGCTAGAACGTGGTCAACTATGGCTAGTTTGGTCAGAATCAGCAATAATTTCTCACAGGGCGTCCAATGTGATTTTTTTTTCTCTGACATTACATTCCTGTGACAGCACGACCCAGTAAAAGCTGGACTTCAATGGCACTTCTGTTTCCAGTGCAGCAAAGATAGACGTTCATTGAACAAATGCTTCAAAACTTCATTTATTGGGAAGCTCAGCATCTCTGGGAGTAAATGGGGCAGTGGGCAGGCCGTGATGATTGGAGGAACTGTCAAAGTGGCTGGACCTCTTTTTGATTGACAGTGTTTTTTAATTATACTTCAGCTTTGGAACATTTCAAGTTCAATCCTATGCGGATTTTGGACAAATGAAGTCTTTTCATCTTTCGATTGTCATTTGTACATATCCTACTGTAAGTACAAAACATAAATATAGTATTCTTGAATTTGCTCCTTGTTTTGTTAGTAAGGTTCGTTCATAAGTAGATTAGTTTATTTCAAACTAGGTCGTGAAGGGAGGGACTAGCCAGCCAGCTAGCTGACAGATTTTGTTAGGCCTAAAATGTGCTTTCCCTGTTTGAAGGACCACCAGCTGCCACTGATGCCTGCATATGTGCATGCCTGTGGATGCACATGCCTGTGTGTATGTATGTCTGTGAATGTGCATTTGTGTGTTTTGTCACATTTTGGTCTATCATTTTTCTTCTCTAATGAAACGTTTTTTGTTTCAGGGTCCCCCTGGCAGAGATGGTCATTCAGGAGCCCCGGGACCCAGAGGAGAAAAGGTGACAGCTGTCCCCCAGCTTTACTTGAAAGGAAAAGAAAATGTATTTGATGAGCTGAACCTGAATTAGCATTCACTGGCTGTCCATGTATTCCATCAGAAGATCTAGACATGCAGAGATGGCAACGGGCTCTTCAGTCCGGTCAAAGCTCCCTTTCTCATTCTGCAGGGGGATGCAGGGGACCGGGGCCTCCCTGGGGCAGTTGGGCAGAAGGTAACAGTTTGGTGGGAAGATGGGATATCCACTAAGGGGCCTCGCTGTGTGTAGAGCATCCTCCCAGTCTCTGGAGCATACTCTGGGCTGAACTCTTACCTAGATACCACAATGATCATGTGAGTCACTCCAAAGCAGAGCATTCAGAAACAAAATTCGATGTTGAATGTGAACGGAGAGCTGGAATACATCAAATTCAATCAAAGTATATAAAAGTTTTATTATGGATATATGGTCAATTTGAATAGCAGCTCTTTTGCACTGATGAACGATGTGAACGGTTAAAGTCCAGGGCCTGGTCTGAAGCTCCCAGGTATCAGTGTCACCACCTGGTGGATCTTCTTGCATTCTGCCTCCTCCTCATTCCTCTTCAAAGCTTTGAAGGGCACGCTGGGTGGCTGGGTGTGCAGTATTTAGGTGTAATCTGCTGAAACCTAATATGCTATCATTGGTTTGAGTGTCTGTGTATGATACACATGGATTCTGTCATTCCTCCCATCTTCTCCCAGGGTTCCCAGGGTGCACCAGGTAGGCCAGGAGAAGATGGACGTCCTGGACCAATGGGAGCTTCTGGTCCACCTGGTCTGCCTGGCCCTCCAGGACCAGATTACAATGGAAATGTTGTGAGTATGATTTTGCAATATACTGGATGACTGTCCCCACAAGGGCAGCTGGTCACGTAGTTGTTAGAGAGCTGCACATTCTACTTATTCACTTCAGAGATAGGCAGATGTGTAGAAAAAAGAGAAGGAGATGAATGTCCAGCAATGAATGTGAAGTGTGCTTGCAGTCTTCCTGGAAATTCCGTTATGCTCTTACCTTGCTTCCCTTTGTCTAGGACCACGTGGATGGTTCTGGCATGGATGGGACAGCGGGAGATTTAGGCCCCAGAGGCCCACCAGGCCAGAAGGTGGGTGTCACCTGCTCAGCACAGCCCTGTGAAGCCCTGTGTTCCTGGAAGTTGGGTTCTTACGCTTTGCTTGTTTGTTTTCTGGGTCCTCCTGGAAGTCCTGGTATACCGGTGAGACCCGCCTGTAGGAGTCACTCACTCCCTGTGAATGTGCTATATTCCTTGTGATAATACATAACTAGGCAGCACTATAGTGTGATGGCAGGTTCACCTTTCCACAGGGCAGCCCCGGCCTCCCAGGGGAGAAGGGCAGTGAGGGTCTCCCTGGAAAGGAAGGCCAGCCTGGACTGGGTGGATTCCCCGGACCTCCGGTGAGTTCTGAAGGCTGCTGAGATGTCCTTCCCCAACATCAGTTGATCCTAATTCAGGGCTGTCACACTGTCCTCAAACAGCAGTGTGTGAATTTCACTGCCAAACGTTACTATGGTAATACTGCTTAATTTACTATTTATTATTATTTCTAATAATAAAACATTCTATGGTAACATTCATGTAGCGTGTATAAGGTTATCCCATGAAGAAATAGTTACATTTATTTAGTTATGGTCACATATATTTTTGAGAGAAATCATAGTTAGATGGTTGTTGGAGCAGTTGGGAGTTAAGGGTTTTGCTCAGGGTTCCAGTAGTGAAAACACTATAGCAGACCTGGGATTTGAACTGGTGGCCTTCTAATCATTGATACAGATGGTTGAGCCACACGCCTCCCCAGCATAACGCAGACGACCTGCACTTTATTATGCATTGATTGCATAATATCTAGTTTTGCACTGTCTTGTATTGCTTAAAATAGGATAAACTTTATTGATCACTGGGGGGAATTCTAGTGCATAAAAAATTCTCTTTTTAATTGAGTGATGCTGAACGAGTAAGCAATGCATCTGCTGCACCTGACCAATAAAGTCTTGATTCTTGAACTAAAGTTTAGGTTAATGGAAAGCTCTTGTACCACATTGTAATCATTTTTTTATCTTAATCTCTTGATCCACAGGGACCAAAAGGTACAAAAGGTGACAAGGGAGAAAGAGTGAGTGTATTTAGATTTCCTTAATTTTCATCACATGTCGGTGTAATACTTCAGGTTTCTCTTGGCCCTGTGATGGTTTTTCTGGCTGTAAGTAATTCATTCCTGTAGGGTGTGCCAGGTCAAGATGGCAAAGGTATCCCAGGGCCACCTGGTGTTCCTGGCCCCCCAGGGCAGATAATATATCAAGTCTCGGACAACGTAAGTGTGACCCCAAAGCTCTTCTCCAGAAATATGTCGCTCCCTACGTACAGTAGATCAGTTTTCACATATTGTACTTTTTAATTAAATATAACAAACTAATTTGTAATGTCTGATTTTTCAGGGTGTACTTGGTCTTCCTGGTCGAGCAGGATTCCCTGTAGGTGTTGATTGCGGTCTGCTGAAGGGGATGTAGCATATGCCTGTTGTAAATCTGCCCATATGGCATTTAGAAGGTCCGGTAACACTTGGTTTGTCCTTGACAGGGACCTATGGGACCTAAGGGGAACCAAGGTGAACCCGGACCTCCAGGAATTTCTATAAAGGTTGGAGATGCTGGGGCGTGAAGATGTGCATAGTGTTCTGTGGACTGCAGCTCCATAGTACCACAATGCACTTATTTCTTTACCTGTTGTCCTCTGGAGCATCTTATAAAAAGTCATTGTGGCAATTCAGAATATGTCACGTAGAATTTAACAGTTTCAGTAAGTGGATGTTCAATCCCCCCTCTATCCAGGGAGAGAAGGGAATCCCAGGCCTGACAATTAGACCAGATGGCAAACCCATGAACTTGGAAGCACTGATGGGACAAAAGGTGACAGCATCACTTTCACTAATCACACATAATGTTTACACCAGATCTCATTGAGATCTTTACTTTTGGCAGGGTGACCTTGGACCTCTTGGACCTATGGGACCAGCTGGACCTCCTGTAAGAAACATTTCATCCTTGAACATCAAAATCTGATGCATGAAATGTATTTAAGACCTGCAAAGAGTCCACAATTCAGCAGGAAATCCCCAGAGAATGAAGACTACATTATTTATGTACTCTACCTGCTGGGAACCTCTCCAATAAAGACAGGACATGATGTGGTGAATTTGTAGCAGTGATGGAACTGAATGTGTCTCCTGAACTTATTGTGCCCTCAAAGTCTATGCTTCAGTGAAACATCCAAATGTATCCTGGCTGGTCGGATTGGATTGCAGACTACAGGATGTGTGTGAGTATTCACTAGCTTATCGTTATTTGACTAATATTTTTTAGGGGCTGCGGGGCTCCAAGGGTGAAATTGGGATGCCAGGACGAGCAGTGAGTATCTGAATATTTGTACCTTCTTAGTTCACAGTCTTCCTCTAACCCTAACCCTTAGCACAACGTCTTCCCCCTTGCCCTTAGCACACTGCCTCCCTCTGACTCTAACACTTCCTGTAACCCTAACACTGAGCACACAATCTTCCTGTAACTCTAACCCTTAGCATACAGTCTTCCTCTAGCACTAACACTTAGCACACTATCTTCCTCTAACCCTTCCTGTGCATTCCAGGGTCGTCCAGGAGTGAATGGCTCAAAAGGAGAAAAAGGAGAGCCAGCCAGTGGCACGAAATATGGTAACCCTGTAAGTCTGATGTTCATAAAGGACACTTGCATTAATGACAGAGGGGTCACAGACTCGAAGGGGTGTCTTTTTTCGGCTGTGCTCCACGTGGGCCCTTTGTATGGTCCCTGTAGCACGTTACCTGTGTGTAAATGAGCAAAATTTATTGTGTATTTCAAGTTTCCACTGTCTGACTTCTAATGATGATGAAGAAAATTAATCATGGCAACTAATTACCTCAGTATCATAACAATGGCTAATCATTTGTCATAAATATTCATTGTACTTTAAAATGTTTATTGATTTTAGGGTCCCCCTGGGCGTCCTGGCCCTCCTGGCCCCCCCGGCCCCCCTGGACCCCTGCTCTCCCCAAGCAGAATAGATGTGAGTAGGGTGATTCCTCACTATTCTGGGAGTAGGTGAAGCTTACCAAGACTTGATTTATACTAGGAAACACACTGAACTACCTGCACTGATACATGACCTGACATATTACTTTGTCCTTTTTGTTTATTTATTCCTCTTAAAATTGTGTTTTCATTAATAATTGATGCTAATTATATTCAATTGTTCAAAGCCCGAATTATAGTACATTTGTACTGTTAATGTATGATTTAATTTTGAAAATTGATGTTATTTTTTGTGAATGCATCTATAACTTTGGTGATATATTTAGCTCAGTTAATGAGGTCCTTTTGGGGCCGACAGTAAAATGATGTGCCAGTAGCTAGTAAGCCTGGTTATCCTTCATTGATTTGTTCCTTTTCTGTCACGCCAGGATGATGGTGCCTCACAACTGCATCCAATATGGCGAGGTACAGTATGATCAGTCTCTGCACTTTACTCTTCACTCTTAAACCAGGGAATTGGCTGACAGACAGCTGCAGATCTACTAGAGGTACTGTAGATGATAAAATAAGAATATCTATTGCCACAGCAAGGCTAATGTACACTCACCTAAAGGATTATTAGGAACACCTGTTCAATTTCTCATTAATGCAATTATCTAATCAACCAATCACATGGCAGTTGCTTCAATGCATTTAGGGGTGTGGTCCTGGTCAAGACAATCTCCTGAACTCCAAACTGAATGTCAGAATGGGAACAAGCGTGGCATGGTTGTTGGTGCCAGACGGGGCGGTCTGAGTATTTCACAATCTGCTCAGTTACTGGGATTT